GACAACACCAAGTCTTAATGGGGACAAAGACCAGAACTCTTCTACACTGCAGGAGGAAGTATAAATTGATACAACCATTTTGGGAAATTGCTTGGCAGGAACTGCTAAAGCAAAACATAGTCAAATCCTGTGAGCCCGTAATTCCACTCCTCGGTGTATGCCTAGCAAAAATGTGTGCCATGTGCACAGAAGATGTGTGCAAGGACATTCCTAGCAGCTTGGTTCATAATAGTCCCAAACTGGAACTCACCCACATGTTTTTCAACAATAGAATGCACACATTGTTCTATATTCATACACTGGAGCACCACACAGGAATGAAAAAACAAACACAACTTACAGACCAAAAGAAACCAGAAACAGAGAGCACTCCATATGATTCCATTTACCTGAAGTTCAAAAAGAGGCAAATTGATCCACGGGGCTAGCGGTCTGAATAGTGGTGTCCTCGGAGAATGCCCCAGGAGGGAGCCTGCAGGTGTTGGTGGTGGTCGAGGCTTCGAGCTGGGTTGCACAGAGCATTTATATGTGAAAGGCCATTGTCAGCTGACACATAGATCTGGGGACTTTGCCGTAAGTCACACTGGAATACAAAAGATCAGGGAATGAAAGTGGACTAGGGAAAGAAGGTTAGAGGAGAGGGGGACAGAAGCAAAGAAAAAAGAAGAGGGGCACCTGGGTGGCTCAGTCGTTAAGCGTCTGCCTTCAGCTCAGGTCATGAGCCCGGGGTCCTGGGATGGAGTCCTGCATTGGGCTCCCTGCTCGGGGAGGCTGCTTCTCCCTCTGCCTGCCACTCTGTCTCTTTCTCTGACAAATAAATAAATAAAATCTTAAAAAAGAAGAAGAAGAAGAAGAAAGAGACAGGACACACCCAGCAGCCTTTGCTCTTAAAGGCGGTCTTGGAGAAATGTCCTCGAATTGTGTGGCCTTAGAGGAAACAGCTGCAAAACCCCAGACTTATGTTTTCACATCCAGAGACATGAGCGGAGGTAACATCCTTCAGTCTCTGCCTTGGGGACCAACATATAATTGAGGTGAGGGCCTGACCGGGCCCCCAAGCCGGAGAGCCCCAGTCCTGGCCCGAGCAGCTCAGGCTGGGGGGCGGGGGCAGACGCCTGAGCCGAGTCCTGGTGCCATCTCCTGCTCACCGTTGTGTGATTTGAGCCTCTGTGATCCTCAGGAAAGCCCTGTTGCAATGTGCCGATTAACACTGGTCGGGGAACCCCTCCGCGGGCGCGAACCACCTCCCTGCTTTTCCTGAAGACGGGCGCGCTGCCAGCAGGAGCTAACATGCAGCCTGTGTGGGTCCTCAGTAGATCTTCGTTCATTGGACCTTGTGGATGATCTGGAAACGTCTGTTTCTGGAAAAGCACCCAAGGTCATTTTCGCTCAAGGAGCAGGAGATGGCCCGGAGGAGGTCAGGGCAGACCAAGGGCAAGATGCTCTCGTGGCCGTGACCCTGTGACCGAATGTGTATATGTATGTGTGTGTGTGTGTACACGTGTTTTCGTAAGAACTGTATATTTATCGCAATGGTGGAGGAGTGTTGGGCATGACTTAACAGTCCTCATGGGAGCTTTGTTGGAATTAATCCACTCTGCACACATTTATCGAGCTCCTCCTCTGTCACACCTGGAGTTCTGGGGCTCGAGCAGCACCGTCCGGTAGAAAGCGAGCCTCATGCAATTCCACATCTTGTAGTAGCCATGTTAGGAGAGTAAAAAGAAATGGAGGAAATCACATTTAATATTTTTATCTCAATGTATCCAAGATGTAACCAGTATAAAAATGTGAGGTATCTGGTATTATTTATACTAAGTCTTTGAAATCCACTGTGCAGTTTATGCCTACAGCGCATCTCGGACTGGCCCCATTTCAAGCACTCAGTAGCCACATGGGCTGATGGCTACCGTGTGGGATGGCGCAGACTTGGACCCCTTACGGGGTCATGAGACAGGGTGGCCCAGGCTCTGATGGAGGCCAGTGGGGCTGTGGGGACATCAAGGCGTCCTCATTCTGCACAGTGGCTTAAGCAGGTTACTTTCTCACGGAAATGGTCTGTTTGGCAGAGTCGGGAACCCAGGCTGGCTGGGCAGCGCTGCAGGGCGCCCTGCGGATGGGGGAAGGGAGTTTGGGACGAGGGGCCACGCCTAGTCCTAGAATCTAGGTCCAGAAGCCGCCCAGGTCACTTCCGTGCATTTAGCCGCACAACCACACCAGGATGTAAAGGGATCTGGGAAATCTCTGGCTGGGCAGCCATGAGCCCAGAAAGAGGGAGAACAGATTTAGGGGGAAAAAAAAGTCTCTGGCCCGCGGGGGTTGGAGGCCTCTGCGGAGGTGATGTGGTTGGGTCCTGGACTTGGTCCCGGAGTGGATGGCCATGGTGGTCCCGAGAGAGAGGCCTGCTGCCCTGTGGACAGAATGCACTGTGGTCTTGTCTCTGCAGCCGGAGTACAGCATGGATTTCATCAGCAGGGAGCTGTTCGTGCACTCCGCCAAGAAGCTGCAGGCCCACGTCCTGCTCCTCAAGTAAGTGTGGGCCTCACGCCCCAGAAGAGACTCGACTGCCGGGGACCCCCAGGTCTCCCTCGTGTGAGGAAGGCAGGGCCCGGAGCAGACGGGGCCGCCCCTCTCAACGGGGGTCTGCGGAGGGCACCCCCGGGCGAGGCAGGGGCTGGCCGACCTTGTAGTTGGGCGCTTGCCCTGCCAAGTCCTCCAGCCACTCCAGACCCC